AACTAGTTAAAGATAATAAAAATTTAAAAAACTTAGAAAGTGTAAAAGTCAAGGTTCTTACAGTTTTATTAACTAGTTTTTAAATGTAGATGATAACAGACTGGTAAGGCTGAAAAACTGGATTAACATAGAGGCAGGTCTCAAGTATGGCCTAATTTTCTTTTAAAAAGGTAAAAAAGTATCAGGTCAATGTTAACAGAAATAATTTTAATTTAGCTTAAGATCTTTTCTTTCATTTTGAATCTTCTTGCCTTTAAGGAAGTGGTGCTGTGGCTAAAATGATAGCATGTTATCCTTCAGCAAAAAAGCTCAGGTCCAGCGCCAGGCCCTGAGTTCAAGCTCCACGACTGGTGGGAGGGTGGGGAGAGAGGGGGAGGAATTTTGGGCTGGGAATGTGGCTTAGCAGTAGAGTGCTTGCCTAGCATGCATGAAGCCCTGGGTTTGATTCCTCAGTACCACATAAACAAAAGCAAGAGCAGCTCAGGGACAATGTCCAGGCACTGTGTTCAAGCTCAGACTGGCAAAAATAAAATAAAATAAAAATAAAAAATAAAAATATTAACTAGACATTGATGACTACAACAATCCAATGGTTTATATATCCAATCCTAGGATCATATAATACTAGCTTTTTAGGAGGCTGAGATTGTTGAAATCTTTGTTCTAAGACTAGCCTGGGCAGAACAAAGTTCAAGAGACTTCCTGTTCTCAGTGAGAGCTGAAAACAGAAAACCTAACAGGTGGATTTACACAGGCACACACCTGGGCAGGAAGCAAGACTCTATCTCAAAATAATAAGCAAAAATCAGGACCGAAGGTGTGGCTTAGCAATGAATGCATGGTTGGCAAGTATGAGGGCCTGACTTCAAATCCCAGTACCACCATTAAAAATACAAAACAACAACAACAAAAAATCCTCTTTATTTTCCTTCTCTGGAAAATGTTAAAGTCTACTTGGGTTAATTTTCTCAGTTATTTTAATTCCCTTGAATTAATCACCTTTAAAATACATCTAAATTACTTCCAACTAAGTTAAAATTTAATAATAATAAGACTTTATCAAGGCAAACATTTAAAATTATATATATGGTATAAACAACTTAAAATTCATACCTTATATCCATATACACAACTAAATGGCATTATTGTAACTAAGAAATCTTTTAGTATTGTATAGCCTATTTTCATTCAAATCAAAGAGGCTTGTAGAATGCCAATAATTTTGGACTGGAGTTAAAATCATTGTAATACACCAAACAGTAAGTTAACATTAAATATTAAAAATGTTCAAAATGGAAATATAACCAATTAAATTTAAATCGATTATTAAAACTAAAATGAAATAAAACCAGAAATGAACCAGTCCAAAGTTAAAATAAATTTAGGACAATAAAAAAACTATATGGTGAATAATTTAAACAAGATGGGACTAAAGTCATTTTAAATTTATGAGAAAAGAACATCAGTGGATATGTATTTCAACTACAGACACTATGTACTTTAAAATAAATGTAGAACTGCATTTGTAACTGTTGGGATAAGCATGTTATTTAAATTATATAATCAGTGAAGTATCGAAATCAATAATTTATAATAAACCAGAAATGACTTGGGAATCTTATCCTAACTTAATACTTTTTTTCATTGTGGTCATTTAAATGTCATCTCATGGCTAAGATGAAATAGTTCAACTTTTCTGTCCATAAGGACAATGAAAAAACAAAAGATCGGGGAATAAAAATGTTTTTGCAAATGACCCTCAGTTAATTAGAAAAATCTGTACCCTTACCAGTTCTTATCTGTCAGCTCTCATTAAAAAAAAAAAATCATTTCAAAGAAAGCCTACAGTTAACAAAACTTTAAACTGGGATCAAGTGAGCGTATTCCTACATTTCTATATGATGTCATACCAAACATTTCACAGCTGAACCTGAATTTACAAGAAGTATGAATGAGTTTTCAATAGAAGAGGTATCTGATCTAATTTTTTTCTCTGTAGGCTAACTGTGCTGGGAACAGGTGGCCCTGCTTTCAATTATGGAGGGTCTAGCATGCCAGTGTGAGGCCTGGATTAGTTCACCTTCTCACGGGGAATTTTCCTCGGTTGGGAATGGATTTATTATGGCTTCACACATGGAATAGAGCTCATGTCAGCTGAGGGCAGTGACACATCATATGATTCAAATTAACCTGCTGCGGACTGTTCCGCAGGGCTTAAATTGTGTATTAAAATGACGACATTTTAAAAACAGCTTGAAAGAAACCAGGATTGCTGAACTGCAATGGTTCCAATTTGTTCCAACTAATCTATCACCTGCTGGAGATATTATTCTAGCGGGTTTCTAGTAGCTGCTGTTTTCCAGGTTTTTCCAAGCCACTGACCTTGCTAATGGGTAGAATTGTTGCCTCCCAAGGCAGGAGGTGGGGGCTGGGAGAGCTTTGACGGTGGTTTTTGTGTAGAAGTCAGAACTTAAATTTGCTTAAGGTACTACTAAATGAACAGAAGAAATAAAGAATATTCAAGAATTGTTTTTGAATTGAATTTTTTTCCTAGTTAAATGTTAACACGTAGCATTGCTGCTAAGGAGAAGTTTGTTTGTTTTTAAAAGAAAACATCCTCTAAAATATTAACCTGAAAGGCTAAATTCAAGACCTTTTACACACACATCTTTTTATAGAAAATTTAAGATTAGACAGGGATAACCACTATTTCCTCTTCTTTTCAGGTCGTAAGTTTTATTGTTACTGTAATCTAAATTCAAGAGCATGAAAAGAACAGATGGAAATACAGAACTTTAGGAGAGCTAGCAATAAGACAGTCTTTGGGGATGATAAATAGATGTGCATACAGATTAAAAAACTAATAGCAGAAAAGACCTTAATACTAACACTTGATGAAAACATAGCATAAAAACTAGAAGTTTCATTTATAATAGGAACTGAAGTTTGTTACTCTAGTCTCAGAATAAATTGTCTCCTAGTATCCTATTACCAAAAACCTGGAAAAAACAATTCTGAGTTGCCAAAAATACAAAATAATAAATTCATATGTCAAAAAATATTTCAGTGTGTCTTGTTATTCTCATTTAACCAATCTTGTTATTGGTTATAGCTTTTTAATTTCTAAATTAATATGAGATGACAACATGGTGATGTGGTAAGAAGATGTAATTATTCTGTGGAATAGTATCTACTCTGTACTGTGCCAGACAAATAGTTTACAGTAGACAAGAGTTTCCTTTTGTCTAAAAGCAATTTTTGAACTGATTCAAAGCTGTTGGATTGGTGTTTCAGAAAAAGTTTCCACAGAGCTAATATATCACTTAAAATTAATACATCCTCAAATTCAAAGAACATAAAAGTACAGTTGGTTTTGAAGAACTTCATTCACTCATTGTACAACATGTTTGATTTTCCAGAAAAAAAAGCACCACTCTAAAAACCACTCATCTTTGTGTTATTCTCCTCGTCTCCTGTTCCCTTGAATATCTGCAGTTTGGCCATCAAAGATTGTGACTGATATTCTTAGAAAAATCATATGTAATAGAAGTAATATATATGTGTATATTTGTTCATAATCTTTTACAAAAAATTTTAGTAAAAGTCATGTAAAACCTTGTTACAAATAGACTAATAGAATATACTTCACCTGTGAGCTTGTTAGAAATATACTTTCAAGCCTATGTTCTAGAGTTATTAAAATCAACATTTGCATTTTAACACATTTCACTAAAATCCTTCAAATGCAGACTCAATGAGAGAAGCACTGATAAATAATGACTTCAACTCAATTATTTAAATGTTTGAATTTTACCATTCATCCCCAATCTCTGAAATCTAGCCTCCCCAAACAAGATAATAAGCTTCTTGATATTATTATTAAACTATTTTAATCGTTCAAAGTAGTTACACCATGGGAATTCACCCCTGCACTTGAGGGTGATGTAAAGAATTGGATAAATGGGAAGGGAGAGTGATGGAAGGTTTGAAACAAAGCAAGACGAATTGTATTCAGAATAGACATTTTGAACTGACACCTCTTTTTAATACAATATAGAGACAAGAAAAAATTTTCTTAAAAGTTTGACTTTCCAAGTATACTATCACTATTATTGAATGATAGGAAATCAGAAATGGTATATATGTAATTCCTAATTCTGAAAAGTATCCTAAGAAACACATAAATACAATTACTTAAGAATCATATTTCTACTAGTCATATTGATTGCTATAATTAAATGCTTCTCATTCAAATACTGATATTGTCTTAAATTTCCGTTTGTTTGGTTGGCTTGAAAATACAGTGCTTAATCTTCATTGGCTTGTAAATCTCATCCTTAAGTAAAGAAATCAATGAAGTATAAACTAAAAGACAATAGCCTAGGCACACTGAAAGAATGCCAAAGGATTAAAACAACAACAACAACAACCCCCAAAACCTCCAAGACTGAAAATGAAAAGTAAACTTAGGCAGGCTCCAGTGGCTCACACCTGTAATTCTAGCTATTCAGGAGGCTGAATTTAAGGATGGAGGTTCCAATACAGCCAGGGTAGGAAAGTCCATGACATTCTTATCTCCAATTAATCAGAAAAAAGCCAGAAGTGGAACCATGGTTCAAGTGGTAGAGTGCCATCCTTGAACAAAAAAGGTGAGATAGATTGCCCAGGGAGAGTTCAAGACCTAGGGCTCACACACCTACATCTCTTGCACATACAAATAAATTAATCACTAAGTTGATTAATAGAAAAGATAGAAAAAATTAGTTTCCAATCACCTTTTCTTCAATTGATAACCAATTTTGTCAGATTAGAGGTAATTTTTCATGCATATCCATTTGGGTTTTGGTTTCTATCCTGGTCACTCTGAAGAGAATATACTTTGAGAAACCAAATGAATTATTCATTTTTGGCAATAATGTCAAAAACCACTAACAGACACCATATACATGTTCATACAGTCCCACAGAAAAATACATACTTTTGAATGATGGCTTTCTTACCTGGACCATTAAGGAAGTCTTTAATTTGTAGAGTTACAAGGGAAGGTGGAATACCACTTTTGCTGTCTATTTCTCCAGGTACTGTCTGCAACCACACAGTACTGTAATCAAGGGCTTCAGGCAGAGTCTTCCCAGGATCTGAAGCCAACAAAATGAAAATTAAAAACAGAGATTACATTACCAACAACTAATTTTGGTGTTTGAGCCTGAGTTGGTCAACAAGAGAAAAACTGGTTAATTATATGGAACCATTATAGTTTCATTTATTTGTACATACAAGTACACAAGTCTTGTACTAAAAAAAGATAAGCCATATCTGAATGAGGGATGATGAAAGTCTGTTTTCCAGAGTAAGCCAAAGAGGAAAAGACATTACAAGTCTAAACCCACATGATATGAATAAAGGAAAAAAATGTGTACTCTGAGCTACTTACAGATTAATGGCTGAACTGGGGGTGGGGGAGGCGGCAGCAGTGGTGAGGATTGAACTCTTGGCTTCATGCTTGTTAGGCAGGTATTCTACTACTTGAGTCATAATTCTAGTCCTTTTTTGCCTTGGTTATTTCAATGTATGGTCTTGCTTTATGCTTGGGTTGCCCGTGGTTGTAGTTTTCCTACTTTCGATTCCTCAGGTGTACACCATTGTGCCCAGCCATTGGATGAGATATAATACTGAGAATGTTTTTGTACAGGCTGGCCTCAAACTGTGATCTCTCCATCTCTACCTCCTAACTGCATAGGCCTAATAGGTGAATATTAAAAAATAATGTGTTACTAGAAACAAATTAAGGGGAACATAAGGGAAAATTTGTCAGCTGAGAAAAAGGTACGGGTTTAAAGATGCGTATTAGTACCACTTAAGGGTGATTTAATCTATTTCAGAGTTTTACTAATATGACATCTACTTCTTACTACTAAGCTTTGGAAGTTAACTTCAGTAGCTTTTCTGTAACATATTTTAATGATAAAATATGTTTTAATGATAAAAGTTGGTTAACCTTCAATTATAACAAAATTCAGTTTATAGTTTTTACTTTTTTCTGTTACACACACACACTTTTGGTTAACATGTATTTTTAACATTTTGTCTAATGGTGAGAATAATTTGCTTTTAATGCTTAGAAATAATAGTATTTACTAAAATAGCTCCTTAAAGTAATTGCTACATATTGGCATATAATGTGGTAGGCTTCAAAAAAAAAAACTTCTAAAAACAGTTTTTCTTGAGTTTCATGATTGTTTTACTCTCTGTGTTTTAATGGTTTTCAAATGTCAATTTTATAGGGATGTTCTTGCCATGAAGTCCATCTATTTCTTTTTCAGTCTATTTTTAATGTGTTATTTATTTTAGGTTTTATTGACTGGACTGCTTTCAAGGATAGCATTTACATACAGTGTATAATATTCAACATATGGTTGTATACTATTACTGTCATATGTGAACTGGGCATATAAATTCTGACTGGAATTTGTATTTCTTGACCTTATCATGTGATCCTCATGAAATTTGGCACATATGAACCTTTATGTGATTTCAAAGAAAATATTGGAAGGAATTGATTGTGACGTGAGATCTATGTGGTAAAGATCAAACACTTATTGCATTCTTCCCTTTTTACATGATCAGTGAATTTAAGCTGTGAGATTATGCATAGTAGACCTGTTACACAGAAACTCTTACACTATTTTGTCTTTGAAATACAATGGCCAGTACCTGCAAAAGGATGATAGAAATCTGTTGTTGGTAGTTCAATACACAGCACGGGGGAGTTATCTAACCCATCAGGTTCTAACTGTCTAGTTAGGGTCTCACACATTTAGATATTATCAAAAGCAATTTTATCAACTAAATGAAACTTGAGAAGACATGAAGTTTCATGAGAAGACATGAAATTTCATTTTGAAGAGAAATTTATTGCAAGAAAATAATAGGGAAAACAAAAGTAATATAAGTAACAATGAACAAAGATGAATTAAAAATGAACAGAAAATTAAAGTTGATGTAAAAACATGAACATGATGCATAAAAATTTGGCAAGTAAACTTAGAATAAGTGCAACAAAATAACAGGAATGGCATATTTCAACTTGTATAAAGAGGACTGAGAAAAATTGCCAGTAGTGGAACGTGTGTGTGTGCACATGCACACATAAACATATACAAATTATAGATGTGTAATCTATTTTCCATACTTATCTAGGATAAAGATTCTAAGTAGAGCAGTGCCTACTATGGGACTGTAAGAATATTAACTATCACATTATACATAATCAACAACAATATATTAGCCCATTTAAAACAATATAATCACATTAAATATCGGTCAATGGACACTATGAATAAAAGGTCAAATAAGAATGCAAAATTGCAACTGTATGACTGATAATAAAAGATATCATTACGGGCTGGGAAGGTGGCTCAGTGGTAGAGTGCCTGCCTTGCATGCATGACCCTGGGTTTGATTCCTCAGCACCACATAAGCAAAAAGAAAAAAAAGCTGGAAGTGGTGCTGTGGCTCAAGAGTTCAGGCCCCATGACCGGACCAAAAAAAAAAAAATATCATTAATGCATACAAAGCTCACAGAACCAATATAGCAGATACCATAAGACTAAGATGGACAATTTTACCTGTAAGACAAAGTCTAAAAAATTTTGCAATGTCTATTCTCTAACAGTGGGTAACTTTGGAGAGTAATTTTATAACCACAGAACAAATTTTAAATGTGTGCATCATTTTGTCTATTAAATTAACTTCTAGGAATTTATTGCAAATACAAAATCAGATAATGTAAACTCTCTATCTTTCTCTTTCTCTGTAGAATTATTCTTTTTCTGCTGGATTCTCTTACTACTTTATAGGAGCATTTCCTCTTGCTATTCTAGTTGAACTGTATTGTAATGCCTTTTGCATGTATACTTTTTATGAATGTGAAAAGATCTATTTGCTTTCACTTTATAAATTTATTACTATGTAATTATATATTCTGGTATTCCTTCCCTCTTTCCTTTTCCTGACTGCTAAATGATAACAAAAATCATTTTCCCTCCCTCTTAACTTTCCCTCCATGCTTTTCTGGTGATACCAAGGATTCAATTTAAGTGCTAAGCCTTCTGCCTCTTGAGTTATGCCTCAGTGCTTGCTGTTGGTTTTGAGATACGATCATGTGCTTCTGCCCAAAGTAGGCTGTAGTTTAGACTGAAAACCTGATCTCCACCTCCCAAATTTGAAAAGGAATGTATTTAATAGTTATTTTTCCTGGCAGTTCCAATTTTTTATTCTTTTTTTTTCTTTTTTTTAATTTTAATTTTTTGTGAACATACTGTACAGAGGGGTTACAATTACATGGGCATGGGCAAGATAATGAGTACATTTCTTATCAAGCATTGCAGCCTCCTCCTTTGTTTACCCTTCACATCTCTTCCCAGCCTCCCCCCACCCCCCTAAGCCCCGCCCCAATTTTTTATTCTTGTTCTTGCTGCTTGTTGTTGTAGTAGGTGCAAGTAACTACTATCTTTCCTAATGATAACCTTGTCTTACATGGCTGTTGAAATAAGGGCAATCTGAAATATTAAGTTCTATTATAACCCCTAAATTTTCTTTACAGTGGAAAATGCTTGTAAACTTGTGCTACTGAAAAAAAAGACTAAATTATCTTCTTGAATAACTGTACTTCATTTTTTATTTGTTTTGGAGCTGTCTCCAAAGTGAACTCTTAGACTCAAGTAATCCTCTCTCAACCTCTAGAGAAGCTGGAACATACCACCCCACCCAACTTAACTATTTCTCTATTCAGCAAGCAGGTAGCCTATCCCTCTGCTCTTGGCATTTGCCTCTCACTGTATTATTAATCAGATCTTGTTGCTACTTGTAATGCTCAGTAACCAACATCTTGCTCATTATTATCCAATCTGGAACTATGCCATGTTTTAATTACAAATCTTTTATGTGAATGCTAATAATATTGATATCTATCTATCTACCTATCTATCCATCTATCTGTGAAACAATGGGTGTTCTCCTAAATTATCATTTGGTAGATCCAAATTTTATTAACTTGTTTTGGAGTCATTGCCTTGACTGAATTTTCTCTCTGATAATAGCACATGATTAAAATCATATACTTGTGTTATAAAATACTATAGATTGTCTCAATATTTACTTATGCTTCCATTGTATCACTTCCACCAAGTCCAGGGGATTGTGAGTTTTTGGTCAGTCGTGGGGCTTGAACTCTGGGCTTGGGCACTGTCCCTCAGCTCTTCAGCTCAAGGCAAGTGCTCTACTACTTGAGCCACGGTGCCATTTCCGGTTTTCTGGTGGTTAAGTGGAGATAAGAGTCTCATGGACTTTCCTGCCCATGGTGGCTGGCTTTGAACTGTGATCCTCAGATCTCAGCCTCCTTAGTAGCTAGGATTACAGGCATGAGCTACCAGCGCCTGGCTGTTTTTGAAAGAAGTAACAGGTTCTATATTTTTGTTATCATTTTTTTTCTTTTCCTTTTTTTTTTTTCTTGTGCTGAACTTAGGTCTGGGCCTGGGCACTGTCCCTGAACTTGTGCCCAAGGCTAGTGCTCTAATAGCTCTACTTCTGTTTTTCTGGTTGTTAATTGGAGATAAGAGTCTCATAGACTGGCTTTGAACCATGATCCTCAGATCTTAGCCTCCTGAGTAGCTAGCATTACAGGTATGTGCCACTGGCCTTGTACTTATTTATTTCTATAAAGGTTCCACTGAATTGTTATGTAGGTTAAGCATGCTCTAGTTCACCACAGCTAATGAGCTAGGCCAGTCTCATACTGCCACAGAACCAAGGTGTAGTCTATATCTGCTCACATTTGTCTTTGGTCTTTAGTTACACTAATGTTTCATGTTGATGAAACAGCATTTAAACAACTTGATGTATTGTTAACTAGAAGTTAATATGGTACAGTCCTAAAGAAGAGTGTTGAGAAATAGTTACTGACCTAAGACTACATTCATGAAGCTTTCTCCAGGACAAAGAAGATTTCTCTATGGGTTTATCATGTAGGATAAAATATGGGGTAATAAAAGAAACAAAGACTTTGGAGGTAACAAGATCTGTTTATAAGTCCTCATCTTCTAAAAAAATCTCATGAATTTTATTTATGTACTTTTCA